ACTCGTTCTCCTTGCTAGCATCCTTGTGACGATTCTCGTTATCAGGACTTGCGGAAGAAGATGCTTTCATATCCCTTCCTCTCCGGTGATCACCCCCCTTCCTCCGTCCACCAAACCATCCTTTCTTTTCCTGCTTATTCTCTCCATCTCTATCACTACTAACATCTTCAATAGGAATCTCCCCGTGCTCATCACAACCACCTTCAATACTCCCATCACCATTTTCGCTTGATAATTCTGACGAAAGTGCATTTTCAAGTTGCCTCATCTCATCCTCTGTCAGAATATCCTTAAACTCCTCGCTTTCTGTTTCATTTTCATTGCAGGATGAGACGAGCGTGCCAGCTGTCTTAGCCCCGGGAACCCTTCTAGATTTCATACTCACAACCACATTACGCATGTCGTATGCCACAGCCTTCCACGGGCCAACCATTTCTGTTTTCTTCTGCCGCTTCCAGGTCATTTGAGGAAAAAGTACTGCCTGAGTCACATCAATCCTACCCCTGGACATCACAGTCCGAGACATTGCAACCACCTTTTGCCGAACCTTTTCTTCAGTTGGTTGAGAACTAAAACCGGCCAAAGCATTCACCACCTCCTTATCCTTGTGTGAGGCCATGCAAAGTGACCCGGGAGGCACCTTACCATCCTCAGACCCCTCACCCAGGAAAAGAACACTCTTATCATGACGCTTTATTTGCAAACCATCATAACCAGCCAACGACATATCTGCTCTCAAATTTGCACCCCTTTTCCAGATCTTGTAAGTATCTGATGGGGCAATCCTCGAAATAAAAGGTATAACAGAACTCTCAAAGTGGAAAGTAATTTCCATGTAGAAATCCCTCATCCTCCGCATTGTTCCAACTAAACGAGGTAACCTTCTGCACCATTTTGCCCAAGACAGTGCCCGGGAGTGCCTAACTATGATCATGGCAATTGCTTCTTCTCTATTGCAAATTGCTTCCTGGAGTGCACTCCATCCATCTTTATTTACCAAGTTCACATCTGCCCCGGCAACCATAAGCATTTCAGCCGCTGTCTGGTCACCAAGTTTTACAGCTAAGTGAAGAGGGGTCTCACGGTTTGGGACATCTCGCCGATCAATGACGGCAGCAATGGCATCGGCCTTCTCTTCCTCAGCTAATGAAACTAATTCAGATCGAATCTCTGCAGGCTTACAAAGCCGCGGGAGATCAGATAGAATCCTCCTGAGACCGGCATAATCCCTCGTGACTATGGCCTTGTGCACAGGGCTATGATCATACCTGGACACATGGATTCCAGCCATGCCTCAGGAGTATATAACAGCAATCCGAACTAACACACAGAGCCAGTAACCCAATCAATTATCCAATACCGGAAACACATTCAGAACTTAAAAATACCCTACAGTATAACCAGAACCCAGAACCTAAACGTTGATTATAAGCAGCAAATTCTAAAAACGAAACAGACCCAGTGCAGAATTGGTCAAGAAATTAACGAATTCGTTGCAGAATGTTTTTTTTTTCCAGAAACGAATCGAACCCAAATCACATTAAACAGAGATGGCACAAGAAAAACCGAAAGAGATAGCTGAGGCCTAAGGAAAGAATCAGGGGTGGGCGGCCAAAGGCAAAGATGAAAGGAGGGCAACAAATCTCAACTTCTTGTGCTGCTTCTTTTTGGTTCTTCCGTGACAGTGGACACACCCCCCCCCCCCCCTCCTAAAAGAGAGAGCCACAAAACCCACCGCCCACAACTCTCTTTCTCACTCTTTCTCTCTCTACAATTACAAACACCTTACGAGAGCCATTTATATACCAGATACTAATGGCTTTCCCTTGTTTGAGGTAAACCATTAACAAATTAATATTAATGAGAAAATCAAGGAATAACTATTAACAAATTGTTGTTAACGAGAAAATTAAGGATTAACCTCATGCATGCAAACAACACATCAAGCATGAAAGAATTGAGCGAGATTCATAGTTACATGTATATTCAGGCACATATGAGCTATGTTCATATTCAAATTTGTGTTTTCGTTAACATATCAACTGGATTACCCACAGTTAGAATTTGTTAATTTTTTTTTTTTGACAAAATGTCACGAATAAAATGAACTTAGCATTTACACAAGTGAATAGCACTTTGACTATCACAATGTAGCTCAACTTGCTTATGATAAATCTCTAATTCTTTATCAGCCTATGTATTCAAATCGCCACCTTTACGGCTTTTGTAATAGTCATATATTCGGCCTCCGTGGTTGACAAAGCGATCGTAGCATGGACCTCCAACGAACTGGCTCTTTGGCCATAGTAAATAAGTTGCCAATAGTTGATCTTCTTTTATCCAAATCTCCATCATAGTCTCAACATATCTAACCACAAAATTCTCAAAACTAATATCACTTGGCCAAAAACATAAGCTGACATCTCTAGTCCCATGTAGATATCTTAGCAACTAACAAAATCAACATCATGAGTGATACCTGGTCGAGAACATACCATACTATACATCAAGCCACCAACCAAATTAGAATGTATTCTTCATCTGCAATTGGTTTTCGAAGATAACAAAGCACTCAACTTAAAATGAAGAGCCAATGGAGTACTTACAAGGTTGGTGTCATCATGAATATCAAAACATTGAAGCAATTTACACAAATATTTTGTTGTGGGAGATACACCAAGTCTTTCTCTCGATTACGAGTACTTTCCATACTGAGTATCTTTTTTCTTCACATCTAACAAGTGTTATTCATCTATGCTCTCAACTTGTCAAATTTTTTTAACATTTTTCAATGCAATTAACATAGCATCAACATACAATAATAAATAAAGACTTTTTAATCAAAATGGTCCTTGAGATTTGCATAACTTCTCATTTTGGTCTATGAGATTTGAAATCGATAGAATTGATCCCTGAATTTGTCCACAATCAATCACTTTGGTCATTCTGTGAAAAATTTCCATAAAATAATAAAAATATCCTCAATTTTTGTCAAATCGTTTTAGCCTATTGTTTATTATACTGAGGGTAATCTTGTCACTTTGATCCTTAATTAACATAATTTTTCACTAAAGGATCAAAATGATTGATGGTGGACAATCTCATGGACCACTTCTATTGATTTCAAATCTCAGAGACCAAAATGAAGAGTTAGGCAAATCTCAGGGACCATTTTGGCTAAAAAGTCATAAATAAATAAATACCCATTTTGTAACTCTTGGAAATAAACACAATGATACTTACTTCTTAAATAGTGTTGACCTCTCATTAATTAATCAAACTTCAAATATCACTATCTTGGAGATTACTTCAATTCATACAATGAATTTTTCAATTTTTCCATTTCTCTTTTCCAGTCAGGTTGAGACATGTTTCTTTGTCAAAATCTCCATGTGAGAAATTCGTTTTAACATAACATCAGGCCATCTCCAACCGACACGGCAAAAGGGATAAAAATAGCTCAAAATGACATGAAAACCATCTCCAACCGAAGGTTAGGCCAAATGATTTGTGGGTCCCACTGGGCCAAAACCCCTAAATCAAGCTAGTTGGCTGGCCATTTCCAGCCAGCCCTCCAGCGGCAGAATGTCAAACTTGACTTTGTGACTGGTGCAACAATACCACGCTTTCTTCGTTATTGTGGCAAGTGACACTCAAAATACATCAGGAAATCTTATTTTAATATATAGTAGTTTAATTTAATTAACCATATTAATTCAATTAAAATAATAAATTATTGAGGATGTTATGTTTAAATTATTAAGGGGGTTATGTTTGGCCTATAACCCTTTGGCCCCTTCGGCTGGAGATGGTATAAAATATGACCCGACACTGTTCATTAAAATATAATTTCTTATAGTGTGGGCTAAACATGACGCTTTGGCCCCTTCGTTTGGAGATAGCCTCAAATTGCACTATTTTAAGTAATCTCTAATCTCTTCATCCCAAAATCATGATTTTGAAATGATAAAATTTCACAAATTCCTATTTTTTCCAACATTTTGGATTGTGAAAATCTGCATATAACTCCATCTGAGTTTTGTTCAAATTTTGTGAAGGAAAGAAGTGAAGGAGATGATCAATCACCTGATTGTAGGGAGAAGGTGGGTAGGCGAGACGAGTGAGGATGACGAGTTAGTAATGAGGATGGCCTGGTCGTGGAGAAGAGTGGGGAGGCAGGATACGGGCTTGAGGAAACGGAGGTCGGCGAGGGTGAGGTGTTGCGGAACCACATGGTAGGGTGGCGTTGGTTCATTGCGCTGTGTTGTTAAAATCAAATTCGTGCACATTTGCGGACGAAAGATAAAATTTGTCAGAACTGCCCATGAACAACGTGAATGGTTGAATAGGGTTGATTGGGGGTGTGATTGAATCTCAATCGGGCTGCCTACATATCTTTGGGGAGAAGAATCATTATGAAAGGAGTACGTATGATGTGTGCAACATCGGAATACATCCTTAAAGAGTAGCATATGGCGGGGTGTGTTAATGAGTAGTATATGGCGGAGTGTGTGGGGGATGCCATTTCATGTCTACGCATAGGTTAGAGTATTTATAGTCCCACAATTGCCACTTAAAGTGCAACATGCTCTGGTGCCAGAAAATTATAGTCCCACAATTGCCTCTAATTATGCTTCTGAGAGTACACTCTGCTGAAGAATGAATGCTTACTAATGGACAATCTTTCCAGAATGAATACTAGAATGACCTTGGAATTTCTTGTCGATCCGGAGCTAGCCTAGTCCAGCTAGTTCTATTTGCTTGTCTCTTAAAGATCAAATCTTTCGAAGTTCTGAACCATATTGTAGACCCGTAGTTGGAGTTTCGAATGCATAGCTAAAAAGCGGGATGAATGGCCTTCCGAAATTGCTTTCGTTCTCGTTCTTACAATGGATCATCTTATGATGATGGCTTAACTATATTTTTAAGTTGCACATACCTCTTGAGAAGAAATTTAACCAAAGTGTAAAAACTGAGAGAAAAAAACGAACAATTGAGTAAAGCGAAAAAAATGACTCATCAGGTGAATTAATACAAGGTTCTGCTTCCATTCCAAGAGTATAAAGCAGCCACTATTGACTGTTGAGTATGTTCTGAATCAACCCCCATATATGCAAATTAAATGAATTAAGGTAATCAAACCGTATGTAGCAAGAATCACAATATTTTTCCTAAATTTTGTTCCCACCCCCCACAATAATTCCAGTACAACTTTTCACTTGTCAAATGACGGCAACGATTCACTGGGATACCAACCCAAACCCTTCTCTAACAGCAGTTTTTTTCCTCTCCTTACAGTATGGCATGAAATACTGTTCTCTCTATTTGGCATCTTCTCAGTTCCTTTTGGTGGGCTAAATCAATCCTTTACATTTGGGTCTTAGTCTCCACCTTCACTGACATCATTTTTGGTGACTCTGACTTTTCCCTTTCTTTGACTTGTTCTTCTCCTGCATTTTCTTTTTCTTTGCTTCCACAGAAACCCATGTATATTCTGACGGAATTGCAAACGGGTCTTGAATACTTTCTATCTTACTGAAAGAACCAGTAGGGGACGCGCTGGGGCGCTGGTAAGGAGCTCTTATCCACTGAAACCAAGATGAACTTGCCGATTGCATCGAACCTGGGCTCTCCCTGCCAGGGGGGCTTGATGGCGGTGTTGCAAACTCATCCATTGGTGGTAATTCTTCAAGCTTTGTGAAGGTGACAATTACTCTGATAGTAGGAACCACTGGGATAGCAACCTAGATGTAAACAAAGAGAATGCTCAGAAAATGGATTCAGTAAAGACTTAATGACCAAAATTTACGGTTAGATCAAATCCACAAAAATCAACAACCACCACCACAAAAATGAGGTAACCATAAGAGCATAAGATTCACAAGTTATGCAACAAAATTTCTAAATATCATCCAAAAATAAAGATAAGTGCAGAGTTGAATATAGGTTTATGCAACAAAGCAGGGGGCCAAGAGGCTCCTATCATTTTGCCATATGCTTGAAAACACTGCAGTAAATATCTTTCTTCTAACACAACAAAGCATATAAATAAAAATTCATCTTCCTTCATATACAAACTACAATTACATAAAGTGGTTTCCAATCGCTTATCAAAAGAAGTAATTACACAAGGAAGCTTACTACTCTAAATATGCATACATGGCTTGTTCGCGTAGAAGTCCAGTAAGACCCATACCATGCTCAAAGTTGTTGGATGAACATCCCTTAGTTAATAGAATAAAACTTGACAGTATGTATTTTTTAATTAAATAAACAATAGAACATCATTGGTGAACAAAATGTCCACTTCTAAGAAAACAACCTAAAACACAAAACTACAGTACAGAGCTTGCCCAATTAAACCAAATGATAGAAAAAAAAAAAGAGAATTATATAATTTCCGAAGCCACTGATGCCCACAAATAAACCCAAAATTTTCCCATAAGCACTTACCTCCTCATCCATAACATTCTAAAAAAACTCTCTTATTCCTCTCCCCCCATAGCACCCAAAAATAGCCACGCTGGCACACTTTCTAGCACTACCCCCCTCTTCTTTCTACCAGAAAACTTAAGCTTCTCACGTAACAGTATGTATGTTAGCAGCATGTTTCCTATTAGTTATTCGATTTTCATCCAACGACTTGAGAAACATTACGTTTTTTAACTACTCTGGTAATGGATATACATTACACGTATATTCATATGGAACCTACTATTTTTGACCTGTTCATAACTAGAAATGAGAAGAAAACAAGCTGTAAACTCAACAACTTATATAACTTAATACTTCTGCTAGCACTTATTTGGCATTTTCCAAAGCAAAATGAATAGTTTATGATTTTTACGCACTCATATTATTGAGTACAAGAAGCTGCAATGGAGTGGTAGTAAGGTTTGCACTAAAGGCTTAAACTATCAAACCTTAAATTATTGAGTACAAATATTCAGAGTGTGTTTATTACATATAAGATGATCTCATTATAACTCACTAATCTATAAAAATAAGGATCCCTGTTTCCAGCATTAGTCATAGTGCATGCCTCATGTACCCTTCCACAATTTTCAATTACACATGTCGTAAATTTCTAGGAGACACTGGTGATTTAACATTTTAGGTACAGTACATGTTGAGAGTATTCAAAAAATATCAAAAGAGAATTTTCACAAGGAGGATAAGATTTGATAGCCTCATAGAATTGGGTTCATTAATTTATTCTTCTCTCAAATATATGGTTACAGCCTTCCAGGATTCTATATGCTATCATTTAATAATTACATTTTGAGCAAAACATTCATGCCTCTGCAAAACATCTGCGTTTTACTGAACAATATTTGCATTGTTTTAGATATATTATTATCTTAAAGATGACTCTCTAACTTTATCTTGTCGCAGATAGATCTGGCCAATACAAATTTTGGGCCCTGACAAGTCAATTTAGTCTGTTAGTGGCACATTTAAAACTTAAGCTCCGATAAGTTGATTTTTCTGATTGCTCAAATATGAAATTATAGGGAAGACACTTGCAGTATCATTCTTTAACAATTAAACATTGTCTACCATTATATTGCTCAATCGTAGACCAAATTCAGACCTAAAAGAAATTAATTATGACAAATGCAGCAGAGCCACTGAGTTCATGAAAGCATCAACTGGGGACATAAATAAACACGAGTACAAAAGTCATACTAGGTTCATTTCGTTAAGGTCAGGTGGTAATCAGACAATAAAGCTCAATTGTCTATGACAGCATATAGATATATTAACTAAAGTTTACAACATGCAGATCTCATATTATGCAATAGCTTCAATGCGAGTCCCCATTTCTTCAAAAGTTGACACATTCTCCTTGGTTAGGTTAACCAAGTAGGATAAAACATCACCATGCTTCCATGGTGCCTCAGGCTCAAACAAAAAGCCCTATAAAAGCTAAGCAGTCCAATGTGAGCACATCATACTCTTACAGTTACAACAGAACCAGGCAGGGTAAAAAAGGAAATAACAAAAAGTTCTTCAAACAAGTTTGATAAATTGGAAAAGATAACAAAGGCCATCTAGGAAAATAACATAAACCATAAACCAGACAGGGTACAAAGTGACAACGGGAGGGTGGCATACCTTGACTGGAAATGTACCCATTGGAAGCTTAGTTGTAAGCAGCTCCCTCAAACGACGAATTGCCTTAACCTTGTTTGCTAAAATATCAAGTAATGGCAACAGTTCCTCTGTTTGTAATGGAAAGCTTGGGGAAAGCCAGAGGATTGGCCTTAATCCTTTCTTATACTCATTCTCCTTGCTAGCATCCTTGTGACGATTCCTGTTATCAGAACTTGCGGAAGAAGACGCCTTCATATCCCTTCCTCTCCGATGATCATCCCCCTTCACAACAATGTCCACACTATTTCTTCCAGGCCTGCTTTGATTTCTTGAAGGAGAATCCCCTAGCAGATCACTCACCTTCTCATCTACACAGAGAGAACTTCTAGGCGGCACAATCTTTTTCTGCCCTTCACTTTTAGTATCCCGTTTCCTCCATCCACCAAACCATCCTTTCTTTTCCTGCTTATTCTCTCCATTTCTATCACTACTAACATTTTCAATGGGAACCTCCCTGTGCTCATAACAACTACGACGATGCTCAATAATCCCATCACCATTTTCGTTTGACAAGTCTGACGAATCCAATTTAAGTGCATTTTCAAGTTGCTTCCTCTCATCCTCTGTCAGAATATCATTAAACTCCTCACTTTCTGTTTCATTTTCATTGCAGGTTGAGAAGAGCTCGTCATCTGTCATAGCCCCGGGGACCCTTCTAGATTTCATACTCACAACCACATTATGCATATCATATACCTTAGCCTTCCATGGGCCAACCATTTCTGTTTTCTCCTGCCGCCTCCAGGTCATTTGAGGTAAAAGTACTGCTTGAGTCACATCAACCCCAGGCCTGAATATATTAGTCTGAGACATTGCAACCACCTCTTGCCGAACCTCCTCTTCAGTTGCTTGAGATCCAGCACCATCCAAAGCATTCATCACCTCCTTATCCTTGTGTGAGATCATGCAAAGTGACCCGGGAGGCACCTTACCATCCTCAGACCCATCACCAAGGAAAAGAACACTCTGATCAGAACGCTGAATTCGCAAACCATCAAAACCTGCCAATGTCATATCTGCTCTCAAATTTGCACCCTTTTTCCAGATCTTGTAAGTATCTGATGGGGCAATCCTCGAAATGAAAGGTATAACAGAACTCTCAAAGCGGAATGTAATTTCCATGTAGAAATCCCTCATCCTCCGCATTGTTCCAATTAAACGAGGTAACCTTCTGCACCATTTTGCCCAAGCCAGTGGCTGGTAGTGCCTAACTATGATCATGGAAATTGCTTCTTCTCTATTGCAAATTGCTTCCTGGAGTGCACTCCATCCATGTTCATTCTGCAAGCTCCAATCCGCGCCAGCAACCATAAGCATTTCGGTTGCTGTCTGGTCACCAAGTTTTACAGCCAAGTGAAGAGGGGTCTCACGGTTTGGGACATCTCGCCGATCAATGACAGCAGCAATGGCATCAGCCTTCTCTTCCTCAGCTAATGAAGCTGATTCAGTTCGAATCTCAGCAGGGTTACAAAGCCGCGGGAGACCAGATAGAATCCTCTTGAGACCGGCATAATCCCTCGTGACTATGGCCTTGTGCACAGGGCTATGATCATACTTGGACACATCGATTCCAGCCATGCTTCAGGAGTATATAACAGCAATCACTAACACACAGAGCCAGTAACCCAATCAATTACACTATACCGGAAACACAATCAGAGCTTAAAAACAAAGCCCAAATTAGAACTTAAAGACACCCTGCAGTATAACCAGAGGTCCAGAGCCAGAACCCAATTGTTAATTATAAGCAGTAAATTCGAGAAACGAAACAGACCCAGGTCAGAATTGGTTAAGAAATTGATGATTTCGTTGCAATATTTTTCCAGAAACGAATCGAACCCAAAACAGATTAGACAGAGATGGCGCTAGAAAACCGAAAGAGAGAGTTGACGCCTAAGAAAAGAATCAGGGGTGGGCAGCCCAAGGAAAAGATGGAAGAAGGGTAAGAAATCTCACCTTGTTGTGCCGCTTCTTTATGGTCTTTTGTGACCCCCCAAAGAGACCAAGATTGCACAAAAAAGAGACTCGGCCACTAAACCCCACAAACCACAACTCTCTCTCCCTCTCTCTTCCTCAGGCTTTCTCTCTCTTACGAGCTCCACTGCAAGTTAAAGTGTGATCCAATCCAGATCAGAACATGAATGCACTGCGTCAAACAAACAAAAATGCTATTAAATTTCCCCAACAAGAAGGAGAAGAATAAAGGGGAGAGAGAGTAAGAATCTGGGGAAAGGAAAAGGCAAAAGGAATAGAGGAAAGCAGCGAAGCAAAGAAAACAACAAGAAAGGGGAATCAAAGCCAATTTTTTAGAGAGAGAGAGAGAGAGAGAGAGAGAGAGAGAGAGAGAGAGTTGAGAGAGTTTACCTGGTAAAAGTAAGACGCTTTTTTCCTTTGCGAAAATTGATTAGGATTTAGGAGGAGCGATTGGAGGAGAGAGAGAGCAGCAGCAGCAGCAGCAGCTCTGTCATTTTTCTTTAATTATTTTGTTATTCAATTTGACTGAAACAAACAAAGAAAGATAAGAAGAAGAAGAAGAACGAGAGAGAGAGAGAGAGAGGGTCCAAAATCAAAAGAGGAAGGCAGCATGTGACCAGGAACAAGGGAGGGAACTTGCTTTCCCATTTCCTCTTATTATTATTTTTCTTCTCTTTTTAGTTAAAAAATGAAAGAATAATATTTATGATTTTCAATTAATAATATAAATGTTCATTTAGTATTGTTTAATTAATGTTATAGAGCCCCATCCAACATTAAAAATGTTATAAGGCTCCAAATCTGGGTATTTATTAATGCTAATTAAATAGGTTTTTATTTTGATATAGAATTTAATAGTTTTTTGAACGGTAGAATACGGAGTGGTAGGATCAACCTTTTTAAAATAACATACATGTTTAAGCTACCTGTTAACAAAATTCTTTATGTTAATCAAAACAGTGCAGTAATGTAATTTTCCACAAATCAATTTGGTCGTCTGTCACTAAATAAAATTATTGACAGTAATGTAATTTTGCACAAACTAAATTTTACTGCTTTTTTTTCCATTCACATATCATCATATCATATCTCTAATTTAAAATTTTAAAAAATAAAAATTTAAACCTTTTTAATGTTCTTTCTCTCCCTCGTTGTTTCACATATCTCTCAAACTTCTCTCTCTTCCATATGTATATTTAAATTTTTCATATTTACATGTGCGCTTCATCTAGTTATTATTATGGGATGAGGAGGTTCGAAACTACTATATCAATTTAGTAGAATAAGAATTTCAAACACGGGACGCATTTTTTGTTTTATTTTAATACAAAATTGAATAGTTTTTAATTTATAAAAGATATTTGAGAAATTCTATTTGTACCCATATTTTGTTGTTGAACACCTCATCTTTTATTCACACCTTTCTCTAAACACCGGCTTAAATTTACAACTAGTCTTTCTACACATGCTTGCAAAATGCTCTTTTTTTTTAATCACAATGTGATACGCATGACTTAGATATTTAAATATATTTATCAACGTAGATTGTTTCACTTTTTTCATTATTTTATTTCCTTAGGAGACAAATAGTTTGTTCATACGCACTCTCATGAATGCGAGAGTTCATTTTTTTTCAATAGTGCCCTGGAAGACATGTTACGTTAGTTTTTTTTCATTATAATTTTAAAGAAATAATTTTTATCGTATTGTAAATACGGAAAGCATTATCTTTATCATGCACGTTTTAAAAGTTTTTGAGAATTTTTTTTTAATTACAACCGATATGTGCATCTTAAAACTAAGAATTTTCATCGATCTCGCACACTTTGTGCATCATTAAGATTATTTTTGTTATTTCACGCTTAATGCCTTCAAATGGTGTAACTACTATTTGTTGAAATGTCTCACATAGACCGTATCAATGAGAAAATAAGAGTTTAATATCATAACCCCACTGCAACTAATATCGAGGCATTTTGTGATAAAACCTCATACCTAACGGATTGTGCATGTGGTAATTACCAAGTTGGGGACAATATTGGTGTTGTTGGAAGTGGGTTGTATGGCCCGTCTCTATGATAATTCTATATGATATCAAAGCCAAGGAACGGGCCCGTACTATACTGCCACGTGATGGGTGGGTCCCCTGAGCCCCGCGCAATGATAGTGGGTCCCTTGGCCCCGTGTGTAGGGTGAGTCCCCTTGGCTCCACATGGTTATGGTTGTTGATGTGTGGATATCCCATATATGACCCACTAAATGGGTCTCACGTGAGGGGATGTGTTAAAATATCCCACATCAACTATATTAATGAGAAAAGAAGAGTTTAAATATCCTAACCTCATTCCAACTAATACCGAGGCCTTTTGTGATAAAACCTCATACCTGACGAATTGTGCAAGTGGTAATTACCAAGTTTGGGACAATATCAGTGTTGTTGGAAGTGGCCCATATGGCCCGTCTTTCTGATAATCCTACATTATTAAGCCACATTGTTATGTGCATCTTAAAGTGTATTGTTCATTGTTGCTTCAATAACTTCTTTTTTTTTTTTTTTTGAAAAAAAATTGATATTATCTACACTAAGGAGATGAGGTAAGCTTAGCCTTACGATGGGCTAGCAATAGATGTGCTTCCACTTTGTCTTTGGCGAGAATCGAACATAAGATCTCTCACTTACAAGTGAAAAGGAATATCACTAAATCGTAGTATTAAGTGACAATAATTTGTTATTCTCTATAAACTTTGATACTCGTAATGTTCATGGACAAGTGTTTTAAAGCACGCCACCAAATCTATCAGGGACCAGCTGCCCTACAGTAACCCAATGAACATATTCTACCTAGCATTCGCTTGCCACTTGCCAGTTAGGGAGACTTCTTACACTCCTCTTGATGCCACAAAAGGAAGAAACTAACTCTCCATATTACAAATCGACTCACTTGTAGTCACCGATTGTAAAAAGAATGCAGAATTGTGTAAGTATCATAAATTCACCATTCAGGGGTAAGAACCTTCAGATATATACACCAGGAATGATTTGCCATTGCCTGAACTCGCCTCTAAAACCTCTACATACGCTGCCACTTCTGTAATACATGTAGATAATTGTCCGATATTAGATTAACAAAGATAATAAGCCAATTAATAACTGAGGCAACCTATTATTCACAACATACCCCACCCCTCTAAGTGGAAGTGGAACCCCCTGAGATGCAGATGCCTTACAACTTCCCGCATGGATTACAAAAGAAATTGTGGCCAAGTTGCAACAACCTTTGTGATGAGATATATTCACCCAATTGTTGGACATGTCGATATAAATCATACAAATACTTGTTGTAAATGTTGGAATAATTAGGGTGTAATTGCTATAATAAATCACATAGAAAATCAAGAAATAATTCACACAATTATATATCACAATAATGCATGCACATGAGTAACCAATGTTACATGAACATGATATAATGGATTAGAAAAACCTAGAAAATATGGTTGAGGCAAGTGTTGGACACTTTGTCCTTAAGACAAGTTTACTCCTCATTACGGTGCTCATGGTTGATCAGCGCATGTCTTCCAATATACAACGACCACGGCCTTGTAATAGTAGCACTCCAAATCACAAGGCTCCATGAACCACGATTGTGTTGAAAACTCTCTCATATGGACTCTATGAGACTCTCTAACATTTAATGCGCTCTATGTATGATTGTATAAAGAATGAAAGTTTTTTTGTGATTATCGGGGGCTTCCCTATTTATAGAATGTGAAATAACTCTTTGGAAAACATGTGACTATTCATGAAGAGTCAAAAGTTACAACTCTTCATTTGAGTAGACACATCTTTCTACCAAAAGGCTCAACTTCTAATTTCCATTCAATTAATAAATTTAATATAATAATAATATTATTAAATTTTCCAACAGTAAAAAAGGGAAAGAACATAATAGTAATTGACTTCTTTAGATATAAAAAGGTTGAGAGAATTCACCATTTTGTGAGAAGTTTCTTCCCTTATGTATGACCACAAGCGTATACCTAACCTAAGCTAGGCTAGTATTCAAAATTTCCACGCTGCTCAGGGAAATAAAACCAGTGCAGGGGATACTGGAAAACCGAGTGAAAATGAAAATGTTCCAAACATCTTGGAATGTACAGGACGGATTTATTATTCACTGAAAGAACACAACTTGCATACCATTTTTATCGCTTCCCTAAATGTAAAAGTAAATTCTCAGAGAAGATTGGCATGGCTATTTATTCAAATCTTCATTGAATCACACCAAAATTCATATAATCTAACATGGCCTCAGAGCCAGGTTGCATCATCTACAACTAGGCGTGAATCTGTGAAGCGTGCATCAAAGAACTCAAACTGATTGTCAAGCTTTGTTACTGAAAGAAAATTCAGAGAAGAAATCTCAGTGATCTTGAATTGAGTCTCATATGGCTGGATCAAGTGATGCTGATCTTTGAGCACCGGTGTTCAATGGAGACAACTTCGATTTCTATCATATTCGGATAAAGACCATATTTCGATCTCACGAACTCTGGGATATCATCGAGAAAGGTTTCGCTACTCCGACAAAGAAGGATGAAGAACTCACTGAAGCTGAGAGCAAGCTATTGAATGAAAACATTGTCAAAGATGCAAAGGCACTTGGAATCATCCAAAGGGCGGTTTCCAATCAGATCTTCCCTAGAATCACCATCCAAGATACTGCAAATGCTGCTGGGAATGTCCTGAAACAAGAATTTGTGGGAGATAAACAGGTAAGAGTTGTGAAACTCCAAGGCTTACGCCGCAATTTTGAATATACTATAATGGGTGAGAATGAAGCTTTCTCTGCATATCTAGTTAGACTATTTGATTTGATTAGTCAAATGAGAGGTTATGGTGAAGATATTAGTAATCAGAGAATTGTTCAAAAATTGTTGATAAGCTTACCTAGATCTTATGATAGTATTGCCTCTGTGATTGAAAATACTAAGGATCTAGATACTGTTGACATTCAAGATGTTGTGGCTATTCTAAAGGGATATGAACAAAGAATTGATAGGCATGATGAGATTCAAATTGAGAAGGCATTTGTTAGACTCAATATTGCTCCAAAACAAAATAAGTACAATGGGAATCAAGGGTTCAAGCCATAGAAAAATTGGAAGTCAAAGGGGAAGAAATGAGATAATAAACCTGCAAATCAAGCTAGAAGAGTTGGAGGTACCTCTGAAGGAGCTAAGAATCCTTGTATACACTATGATAAATTACATTTTGGTGAATGTTGGTTCAAGGATAATCCTAGGTGCCATAATTGCCACAAGTTAGGACATATTGCAAAAGATTGTCGTGGCAAGAAAAAGAAGGCTAACCAACATGTAAACTTTGTTAACCAAGTCAATGATACTACTACAATGTTTTATGCCTGTAACAATGCCATTGTGAAGAAATGTGAAGACATATGGTATGTGGATAGTGGATGCAGCAACCACATAACTGGAAGGGAGGATTTATTGGTTGACATTGACAGGACAATGATTGTTAAAGTTGAAATGGGCATTGGTCAGCTTATTAATGTCACAGGAAAG